ACATGCGCCATTCACTCACACGAAATGAACTAGTGTTACCGGACATGCGGTCACTTAGCACGCCACCTGCATTCCACACTTATTTCCTACTGGAAGTTGTGGGGCATTTTACTCATCTTAGAAGTTGTATTTGTTACGAACGTAGTGTGGCGAATGGGGTATTCCAGAATGTGAGTCACGTGCCTGGTTTGAGGTGCTGTGGGATGTCGCTGCTATTCAGTCCCAGTGGCGTTCCCGTTGTTTGTTTTTCTCCTGACTGTCTGAATGAATATTTCAGGATATGGGGGTATCGGAATGGTTGTGGTCGCTTTTCAACAAGTCTTCTCACTGGCTAATTTTTCCGACAATAAGGCTTCCAAATATTATGGTTGTACTACAGTAAAGCACAAACAGTGGTTACTGATGTTGTGATGTCGCTAATGATGGTGAAATGAATAGTCTGACATACTCAAAAATGGTGTTCCCCATCGACAAGTAAAGACGAATGAGTAGAGACGAATCATCGGAAAGCTTGTGCGCGGTTCAGATAATCCCGTTCTTATTCCCTTTTTTGTTATTTTTGTTTTGCGCCTACACCACTATTCTTGCTCGCAAGCTGAACGTAAACCGCCTTTTGACCTTGTCGCCGATCGTGTTGTTTAGGTCAGCACGTGGTTTCGCTGCCTTGTAAGCACGTTTCCTTGAGAAAATTGGGATGCGTCCGGAATTTGTAGTTCCTAATCGGTGTACAGAAGGCGGCGTAGTCCCACGATTTGAGGTTTGTGTAGTTTATTATTTTGTTATTGTATTTACAAGACCGTGTTTGTGGATAAACCTCCGTATGAACGATTTGGCTTTTGGGGCTTTGCGCGTAGCTCAATATGCTCTAGGAGTCTGCTGGATACAACCTATTGTAAGATGGATTGATGTTTAAGTTACACAATATTATTTCAAACGGATTTTCGCAAACGAGTTGAGTGGAACATTGATATGAATGGGGATGATTCTCCTGAGTTCATCTATGTTCACAGAATTCTTTATGAATCCAAAATGGATAACCACCATTCATAAATGAACACTTGCAATCCTCTTGCTACAGATGCAACAAATGTGGTTTTGTATCTGCATCTGACGCAGATGCTTATTTGTAGCAGATGACGGCGGATAAGTCTGTACTTATACTACTCCGTTGTAGAAAGGTCATGTAATATAATAGATTAGCATACTTGGGGGCACAGATTGCGGCATTGATGAATGAAGCTTGCTCAAAAAGCAAAATGCCGTCTCTTTAGTGATAAAAATTGACTTTTCAATAACTGAGTGCGTTTAGCAATAAACGTCCGTTCAAAAACGTAAACTAGTCTAATTTCACTTAGATAATGTAGTTCAGGAAGTAAGGTAGTACAATCCGTTGTTTTAATCACATGCTGATGGTGGAATCATTTCCGCTTTGTCTGTTGTCTTCTAAGGTGACCGCTCTTTAGATTAGTCACAGGCGGATTATAATTTAAAGGAAACATCCTTATTTGAGCTGGACGCAAAGTTCATATCCTATTTAAGGAAAAGTAATACCAAGAAAGTAATATCAAATGATGACTTCTCCTTGCTGTATTGTATTTTGACTGAAAATTACTATTTAGACCCGTGATTCATCGTCAGACTTCGACACTTTAAGGAAAGCAATATCTGAACGGGCATCTTTGTAGTATCTTGTCCTCCGATCCATCTGAATGGCACGAAGAATTATCCTAACGTAATGAACCAAGATTAGCTCGACATTTCTCCTGTTCTTCAAAGAGAAAATCGATTTTTCCTTTTGGTGAATTAGCGAAAATCTCTTTATTCAGCTTCACTTAAATCCAAAACCATGAAAAAATTGTTCAAACGAATTTTAACGTTTGAATAAGACTTTGGCTCTACAAGAAGCTGACTGATGGTCGGTTCAAATATTGTTTTTGTTATCAGTATACACATTTTCTTCCTCACAGCATAACTCCTTTCATAAATAATGGATGCAATGCTTAGAGCATGGAGTACAATGTGGCCCCACATTACCCGAAAAGCGCAAACACTGAAATATTCGGGCGGATCTCGCTTTGATTTGCCGGTTGCGCTAGTATACGGATCTTGTTATCAACAGTTTGCAAAGGCCTCTTCAGAATCCCAGATCTACTCACCAAGACCAAGGTCAAGGAAAGTGGTAAGCGCGTGTGGGTTTCCCAACAGTAAAACTTATCATTTAATCGTATTTTTGGTTGTTGGTCTGTTCGCCGAGCTTGGCAGTTGGATTGCAAACGTTTCATCACCAATCGAGGTGGCATCGTCAGTGCAGGGTTGAGTGGGTGAATTCCTCCTCTTCTGCCTGTGATTATATAGCTTATAAACAGTATCTGGTATTTCTGGAAACGGTCGTCGTGTAGTATG